TAGAAAAGGAAAGGTAAATTTGGAATAATAGTAGCTGTAAGATGTAAAGCCATCCTGACGCTAGCTGAAGGCCTGGGCGCTCTCTCCAGCAGTAGCTCAGCTCCCGAGACGATCACAGTTCCGGGAGGAAAAGCCCACGTGCAGTACCTACGCACCCGTGGCATCTCTCGGGGATCAGAGAGCAAGAAGAACAAAGATGGGGGAAGCCTGGCTTGCTGCCAGCTCACATTTTCATTTTGAACAAATGTGTGTAAAGAGTTTAGGCAGAGCCCCTGTAGACGGTGTTTATTTGCTCAGCTTCAAAGGAAGCCGCCACAGAAGGGCTGTAATGAAATCTGGTGCAATTATCCCTTTCAAACCCAAGAATAGGCTTTTTTTTTTCCTTCTGGAAAAGACTGATGGTGAGGTGAGAATGGACCTGAACAGTCCTTATATTGAGGCATAATATGCCATCTATCATTTCCATTTAGGGCAACTCTGGTCTGTCCTTTGCTTTCTAATCATGACTGGTAGGCGCAGGAGCCATTTTGCTTGAGGAGCTGGTCTGCACTCCCCTAGCCACAGCTCTTGACATACGTTTGTGCAGGCTGGCTGTAGGCTAGCTCTGATTTGTGAATTATGGATTTATTTTCCTTTTATCATTCCCTTTGGTTGAAGCACTGTCGATAAATACCGTATCACCTAAACACTGAGATGGTGGAAAACACGTTAGGAATGCTGCATGCAGGCAAATCCCTCTGCTTTCTCCCTGTCTCTCCAGGCTCGGATGCTTCTATACAAACGCCTGTAGTATGGGGAATAAACAAGAAATTAGAGATGTGTGCACATCTACAGGGATATATCATTGGCATCACAGAAACATGGTGGGATGGCTCCTGTAACTGGAGTGTGGGAATGGAAGTTTATAGGCTCTTTAGGAAAGACAGGCCAGGCAGATGGAGAGGTGAGTAGCTACTTGGAGGGGAAAAAAGCAGCTTAGAAAAGATTGGAGCGAGGACAGGTGGCCTGGGAAGAATACAGGGACATTGTCCAGGAAGCTAGGGACTAGGTCAGGAAAGCTAAGGCCCAGTTACAATTAAATATGGCAAGGGATGTGAAAGACAACAGGAAGGGCATGGAAATGCTGGAAGAAGTCCAGAGGAGGCCACAAGGATGATCAGGGGACTGGAGCACCTCCTGTGTGAAGACAGGCTGACGAAGTTGGGGCTGTTCAGCCTGGAGAAGAGAAGGCTTCGTGGAGACCTCAGAGCAGCCTTCCAGTGTCTGAAGGGGGCCTCTAAGTATGTTGGGGAGAGACTCTTCCTAAGGGACTGTAGCAGTAGGACATGGGGTGATATGTTCAGACTAAAACAGGGGAAGTTTAGATGGGATATAAGGCAGAAGTTCTTTACTGTAAGGGTGGTGAGGCACTGGAATGGGTTGCCCAAGGTTGTGAATGCTCCACCCCTGGCAGTGTTCAAGGCCAGGTTGGACAGAGCCTTGGGTGAGATGGTTTAGTGTGAGGTGTCCCTGCCCATGGCAGGGGGGTTGGAACTGGATGAGCTTAAGGTCCTTTTCAACCCTAACTATTCTGTGATTCTATGAATCTAATATACACTTGTTTCCAGCCTCTTTTTTCCCCCTCTATCTTGATCTAAATTAGGCTGCTCTTTAGAGACAGAGTCTTTGGAGATTAACGCGACTGAAGAAAAGATTATAAAAAGGAAGGGGGGAATCATTTACAATGAAATCCTGCCAAGAAACAAGCACAAAGGATAGAGGGTAGCATATGTTTGGAAACCTTGGGATATACCTACACTACAACTGGCAGTAATACTGACTTTTATGCAGATTTAACTGGAGCCAGCTGAAGGGTTTGCACCATAGGCTTAACATGGACTGCAATAGCTAAGGAAGGATGCTAAGGATGCTCATGCTATCTGAGGTAGCCCTCAGCAAGGTTACTACTGCTGACACCAAAACCAGATAGTTTGAATGTTATCTGACAGGTGCCACCACAGTGAGCTCCTGTAGGCAGGCAGAGGCACAGCCAGCTTAAGAAAAACTGCAGGTGAAACCCCACCAGCTTCTTGTGGGTGGATAGGTGATGTACAGCTCAGCCTGGGGAGGGTTTGTGCGGTCTGTAGGCAGACTTTCCAGAGCCACAGTTCAAATCCAGCAGTGCTGCCTGGGGAAGCTGGTACTCCTTTTGATTCAGACAAAAACATAAGTTTCAGCTTTTCAAGTTATGAGCTCCTTGACCTTCTGCCATACAAGTGTTTACTCAGCATGCACTTGGTGTTAACATAAAATTCACTCAGGGCCTTAATCAAAGACCACTGTAATCAGTGTAAAGACCAGAAGGAAAGTAAGCAGATCTTCATCTTCTAGGGATTTCTCAGTGGAAGTTGCGTTCTTAGTTCTTTAAGGTTGACTTGAACTGTGTTTAACCTCTAGGTTGGGTTAAACCGCCTTCTCTAACTAGCTAGAACATAACAACGTCATCAAACCCAGTCACTTTTGAGTCACCACCTAAAATGAACAGGTATCTACCTAGAGCCCCGTCAACCAGATGAAGTGGCCTTTTGGCTGAGGCTAAAGATGACCTTAAAAAGAAGTCCAGCCAGAAGAGAAGCCGTAGTTAGGTATGTACCTTCCTGTGCCACCTGAAAATTCTTGCCACGAGTATACATTTCATGGCACCCACAAGATGACTGATTCTAAAAGTCATTGGCATTGGTAGGCATTGAGTGTATGAGTATGGCTCAATGAGTAAATGGCTCTCAAGAAAGCTGTGAGAAATTTAAAACCCAAACTTGGAAGGAAAATAGTTAGCTTTTACAAGGATCAATCCATGCCAGCATGAAGGTATATATTAATCTTTGCAGAATCTTTCTTTATTATCTATTCCAGCCTGGGATCCCTAATATTTCTGAAGTAGTTTGATATTCTTTCTAAGAAACGGTGACAGCGTGTGAAATGCATGTCTGGACCTTAACCAATTAAAGGGACAACTCTTTCCTACACCTCTAGAAATGAAGTGCAAGCTAAATAGACCTTGTTCAGATAAATGACACTGATAATGCTCTTCTAGGCAGTATTCAAATAAATTAATATCGAGTAAGAAACTCATTGAGCTACTTCCAGTTGACACCCACCTTCCATGGGGATCAATGTTTGATGTAATATCCACATTAAGCACGGCTGATATTTGCCTTTACAACAACAAAAAAGACATTTTTAAAGTAGTCATTTGTTAGTCCTTGCAGACATGCAGATAGGAGCCTGCAAGACACTGAATGATTCCACAAAGGTCAGGAGCTCCTTTTATTTAGCTCCATCTATCTTTTAATAGAAGAACAAGGAGATACTGAAAAAAAATACAAATGGTAATAACAGACTGATGAAAGGCAAAATTTGTATATTTGCTGAACTCAGCAGAATTGACAAAAGAAGAATAAAGAAATTATTCATATCTGAGAATAATAAAATTATCCACTGTCACATTATTCATGGGATAGCTATCTAAAGAAAATCCTTATTCCTGTGCTAGGCCCTAAGCAACTTTCTGCTTGCCTGGGTTAGAAAGAAGCTTCCCTCAAAGGCAATGGATTGTGCACTTATTTACTTTTATAAGTATTGTGACTTCAAGCAAAGACTCTAATGCTGGCTGCTATTGGACGCAACAAAAGAATGCCTGTTGCTTTAAAACAGATATGAAAACATTTGGCATAGAGTCTTTTCAGTGCTTACTCTATAGACTTATATGTCTGAGGCAGATCTGTAATCATCCTTGACAAAATTTTCACTGTAAAAAAGTGCCTGAATTGATGCATATTTACTGAACACACTTAGGCATGACTAGATGACTAGGGTCTCATTTCTGCAGTAGAAGGGCCATTGGCAGGTGTTAATAGGCTCTTTGAATCCCGAATCACAATTGATATTACTGTAGAAAAGGTAGGAGGGGGCCTTGATGGGCCACCAAGATTCTCAGCTCCATGTCTATTTAGGTTTTTTGCAGCTAGCGAAGACAGCCTGAAAGAAAAATCTGTGGGAGGTTTATTTTGTCACTGACTGAGTTGTGTCTGTTTCTTCACAAAAATGGAAAACTCCAGTTCACAGCATCTTCCGCTAGAAGGAACTTAATGCCAGATTTTGAACAAAATGGAAACGCTCTACTAGGTTTCTTATTCATATTCTGATATGCGACTCCCTGCCTGCAGTTTCTAGATACTGAACACTTTTCATGTATTACTCAGACTTTATACCTTATGACCAAGAGATTTGCAAAGCATCACATCTCCTAAGACAAAATTCAAATATTCCCTTAAATAAAAAAAAAATTATTCCATATTTTAAGTCCAGAATTTCCTTTGTATACTTCCAATGGACTATTCATTTTACTGTCATATAGATAGCTAGAGAATAAGAAAAGATTGCCCAGCTAGGAAATGATGGCAAATTTTTGGGAGTACTAAAGCACACTGAAACGCACATTATTGTAGTAAGACTGAAAATCTAGTCTATGTCTTCAATCCCATAGTAGTGCAGACTCATACAGACTCATACTAGCCACAGCAGAATATTAATGAGACAACGATCATCCTGTTTTGAGAGACTTATCCAAGCAACACTCATTCCTTAGTCACCTCCAGTCACCTCCAGCACCTATGGGCTATATGACATCCAAACTAGGAACATGGTATGTATATAGGAAAAATTCCATACCTCAGAATAGGATCTGAGACGTGTTGAAGACTGGGGACATCCTGCCATCCATGTCGCCAACAAAGACGTTAAACAGCACCAGTCCCAATACTGACTTGGATATAGAGCTGCTGATGCAACTCTTTGAGGGCAACCATCCAGCCAAATTCTTATCCAGCTGCTGGTCAAAACCATGACTCTCCAGTTTAGAGATAAGGATGTCATGTGGGACAGTGCCAAATGCTTTTCACAAGTCCAGTTACAATGATGTCAGCTGCTCTACCCTTATCCTCCAAAGCTGTGATAATGAACTCCACCAAGGTTGCCCCTTGAGCTTCACATTCACCTCCAGCCTTTTCTTGCTGGTGAGAACAAGGTCCAGCACTGCACTTCTGGTTGGCTCCTCTGTCACATGGAGAAGAAAGTTACCATCAACGCATTCCAGAAAGGTGGATTGCTCCCAGGCCTTCTCTCAAGGCTTTCAAATTAACAAAGGATGTATTTGGAGGATAGTCAGTGAATGATAAAAACTGAGAGGAGAGAAACATTCACTCCTTGGCTGGGAAGTTTTCAAACTTGTAGAGCCTAGGGGCTATCTTTAGATATATAAGCAGCTCCTGTTGGATACAAAGAAAACGGTGTGTCTATGCCTGTGAACAGAAGTTGATCCTGGCCTTAGGTGCTTTAGAAGGATGTGTTTTCTTGCCTCTCTCTGAAAAAGAGAGAAAAAAAAAAGGCACTTGATTCCTCTTTCTAAAGCAAAATATAAACATCATAAAGCACGTTAGTACAGACAGTCTCGGTGCTGTTCCCCACCCTCCAGCTTTACCTCTCGCTATCTCCTTGTTACTTAAATAGAAAGTTAGATGTAGTACACAACTTTAAAGCAGCCTTATATGGTAATTTTGCTGCAACAGTAAAAAATGATCAGTTTATCTGTCAGACAGCCAAACAACACTTCTGCAGTAATTTTTGCGCTGACTTCCAATCTCATGAACATTTGTTCAAAAAAGCATGTTTCTGTTACAGTCCTCATTTCAGCTACAATGTCTGAGGTTTACAACACTCTTTTTGAGTGAAAACCAGGCAAGAGCCACCCCTGATAAAAATAGCAACATGGAGAAAACCCCAGTGAAGGAATTCAAACGCAGCTTTGTAGCTTGTCAAGGCTAATATAGGCCCTGACAATTCAGAAGTAGGTGATGCATGCTTTATGCTCTTAGTACAGAAACAAGGTGAATGAGAACAAAACAGTCAAAAATCCTCACCTTCATGAAAAGGACACCTTAGCCACAAGACCTTCTTGCCTTCTTCAATCACAGGCATTCCTCTTCGCATGCATGAGGGAAATCAGAGATGGTGGAGCTAAACCACAAACCTTGGTGTGCAGCCCAGCCCAGGCAGCTTTTGTTCATGGACTTCATTTTCAGCCTAAAGAAAGGTCACACATCAGTTACTGTGTACGGTGCACTTCATTGCGAGATTACTGAACACTATCAATGAGGCTGTAATAGAAGTTCCTTTCCACATCAGGAAAATCCAGCAGTTTGACTTAGCTGATGTATGTGTCATCCCTTCCCAGTATCCCAAATGCTATTAGAAATGAAAATATCTGTAACAGCTTCAGACATCTCATCTGTTCTTCTGGGTGAATGTACCATTAAAGGTCAGTCTATGGATGTATCATTTCCTGGGGTGGGGGGAAGTAATAGGCTAAATTGTTCACATCGGAGTGAGACACTCAAATCAGAGCAAAGGCACATGAATAAATGGCTCAACAGTCACAAAGAGCTGAACGGTCACAAATGGCTCAACAGTCATAAATGGCTCAATAGTCATAAAGACCAAGCACTCTTGACATTGCAGACTTCCAAAATCCCAGAGGAAGGTCAGCTGTTCAGGGATGCAGCACAACTTGGTATGGGATTGTTGGCAGAAGGATTGAAAACGTCCCTGATTTTCTGTGCTAAGTGTTGGTAAATGGGGCGGCTTTACTGTGTTTCACAATTTACCTTTCTGCACTGATACGTTCGGAACCCGGTCAACTGCAGATGATCTGGAGAGTTTGTGTGGCAGGGGCTATTGTCAGAAATGAGTTAATGGCACAGAGACTTCTTGTCTGACTGCTCTGGTGCAGGGTGGCTGGAGTGGGAGCAGCTGCACTGTTTTTTGCCTGAAACATGTGTTCCAAATGTAAGGAAAGCACATCAGGACTCCGGGGGCATTTTTAATGACATCAGATGGGATTATTTAACCTCAAGAAGTTAACATTTAATAATTAGGTTAGAACCTGCTGTTATCGGACTTGTCCGTCTTCTAACACTAGAAGAAATTTTAAACATCTGTGGAGGCCACAAACTGGGGCGGGGGGGGGGAATGGTCATTCCTCAAACACTGGGCAAAAAAAATGGGTAAGGAAAACATTCCCGGAAGGATCCTGGGTTCATTTCTGGCTGAAGTGGTTAATACCTAAAAATGAATGCCTAGTGAGATTAAAAAATTGACTGGAACTTTTGTAAATGATGCTAGATAAGGCGTTTTAATACCTAAAAGAGTTTTTCATTCTGGTCTCAAGCTATTTACACATCTTGAACACTTTTGGACAGAAACAGCTAACTCCTTATTCTCACTTAGATTCCCTCAAGTGTCTGGGGAGGCCTAGCCTTCTATGTAACTAAGGTGACTTTAAAAATCTGCAGGAATTGCTTTTGCTCTGACACATCAGTTTGAAAGTAAAGGTCCTAAATTCATTACACTCTGGCATTAAACTAGCAGAAAGGAAACCAGCAGCATGCACATTTTCTAGTAGACAGGAAAATGGTTTGGTAAGAGCGTTTGCGCCAGTCTATAGTGTACAGGCAGAATAGGCCCAGTAGATGAGGGGTTAAAATAGAAACTGAAGTATAAAAATCACAGAGCAAGACAAGGAAGCACTTGAAAAACAGACAGAAAAGTAAAGCTTGCAACACAACCCAGACCAAATGAAACCAGACCTGCACAACATCTGGTCCTCAGATGGTTTGCTAGCAGCTGAGTGGCAGCATGTCTCATAGGATGACAGGTAGTCAAGAGGAGGTATGTCTCAGGCTGACTCGGAGGCTCTCCTGCTCTGCTTAGCAAGCTGGGGATACCTGCTCTGCTTCTCAGCCCGCAGCTGGGGTGCATTGCATGACCAATGTTCTCAGACAAGGCAACCCATGAAGGAGAGGCTGGGAGGAAGGCTGCAAGGAGGTAGGGAGAGAGGGCTGCAGCAGGAGGGGATGCAAAGGTGTAGGGTAAGGGGGCATGGGGATGAGTTGCAGCAGAGAAGGAGGTTTGTAGGTCACAGATAGGAGAAGGTGTGAGGGCACAGAGGAGCAGAAAAGTGAGGTCCAAAGCTCTTGTGCTGAAGTCTCACCTGTCACTGAGCTGGGGACCCCTGAATTAAACCATAGAATATGCCCAGTGGCTTAGAAACCCACAGGACAAACAGGACGGGGTGTCCACCCTTCACACAATGCTTGTGCCGAGCTGCACTACCTCCCAGACAAGGACAGCAGCTGTCTGGGGAAAGTCAGCAACGCATGGATCAATGGACGTGAGCACAGCCAGCAGCCATGGCAAGGTTAATGGGGTAGCAAGCTGCATGATGTGTATGCCAGGAAAGATCAGATTCCCTCAGATGGTGGAGTCATGGTCAGCCATGTGGACCTGATGCTTCAGTGCTGAATGCAGCAGCAGCTTCACCGAGACCTCTGAGAGGGGGAGAGCCCAGGCACCCAGCTCCACTTTCCTCAAGCCCATGGAGCTGAGGCAGCTAGCTGCCCTTTCTTGAGCACTCCACAGGCCATCAGGATGCAAATTATCACCATTTGTTCTATTTTTCAGCCACCACCACTGCTGAAAACATTTAGATTTTGAAATGCCACAGCTGTATAAGAAAGAGAAATGCATTTAATTTACTTCTTTTTTGACTCAGTTTCACAGATGTGACTACCTTGAATGGCACTTTCAAAATCCTCAGTGGCCTATGAGAAGTGGAGTTTGCTGAATCCTGAGTGCCTCATGAAGCCAAAAGATGACAGTCTTACTTTAGACCATGAGGAGAAGAAACAGCAATGTAACTAGGCACTGCTTGAACTAATTTGTCAAGTCACTCTGTTCAGCCTCCCAGCTTTGTGCTGGACTTCTTCCACACTGCCCTGCATTATCTCCCTTTCTTCTTGCCTTGTAAAGGTTCCAGTTCTGCACAGATATTCACGTATGTCTGTGAAACTTGCAGCAGTTGCTTTGGTCTGTCAGTGTGATTTAAGTTGTAGTCTTCCTATACTGGGGCTCTGCTGTTGCTAACACTCCCATGCTTAACTACCTCACATAGCAGAGTTCAGAACATGCGCAAGGGTTTGCAAGACTGGCTATTTCCTTGAGAGCACTTATAAAGAGACTCGATCTGAGGGCTATAAATATTTGAAAAGTGGCCAAGAACAAGTTTTGAAACTATAAAAGTAACGCTGGGGGTGCAATGACAACTTCCATTGTCAAAGGAGCAGTGCTTCATTACAATTTACTGGATTCTTTTTCTCCCTCCCTAGAAATTAATGAAATGTTTGAAGAAAAATATCATAGGTTCTGCATTTTCCTGACAAAAAAAAAGTAATAATTGTCTTCTTTGTTTCAGGCACTGAAAGAACCAAAGTATACCAGAATAATAGAAGAGTTTGAGCTATGCTTGAGCGTAATCTGGAAGTATTATGCTTGTGGCTTAAAAGATCATTCTTTTTAAATGCTTCTGTTTCAGCCAGCGTATAAAAATATCAGGAAAATCAGAATGATCCTGGCAAAGCAGCTTTGTGACGCCTTCTCCATTAAGGTTACTTATTCGAAATCATGCAGAAATTGATTCAACAGAGAACATGCTCCAAGTCATACAATGTCTTTTCTTGACTAGATGCGACAAATTACAACATCTGACAAAAACTGCATAAAAGAAACTCACAAAAGATATTGTGGGAAGGAATTATTCACAGAAAAAAACATATGTAAATGACAGGAGAAGGGCAAACAAAGTGTCTATCATTATAAAAAGGGGAGGAAGACAAATTACTGGAAGAAAGCAGCCAACAAACGAGCTGTAAATACATGGAAGAAAACAAAAAGATGAGCCAACAGCCAGTTAACATTTGTTAGAGATGAGCCGTGTCAACTCATTCATTTCAGGAAGATGATAGCACAGTTTCCCTTTCTGGTTAGGGAAAAGCATACACATCATGTAACTTCATTTTAACAAAGGTTTTGGGTTGTTTTTTTCTTTGTGGTGTATCACAGAAAAACCACATGAGCAAGCTAGGCGATCACAGAATGGATGAAACACTGGGGGGTTACAAAGCTGTTTGGAAAGCTGTATTTTTATGTGATGTGAGTGTTTGTGGACAAGGTATGTGGTGATTCTGGAGTTCTGCTTGTGTTTGTTATGATCCAGTGATACTTCATGTTTTCATTAATGATCTTGTGAAAATTTGGAGATGATATCCAGACTAAGTGGAACAGCAAGCATGTCAGAGACAGGGTATGGAGGGGTGCTAGAACGGGAGCAATAAAAGGACAAGTGGAAGGTACACAGGCAGGAATCATCAACATGAATAAACTCAGGCTGAAAAATAACTGTTTAGGTAACATTTCTATAGAAGAGATCTTGGATATTAGTGAATTAGAAGGTTAACAGAAGCCAGTAATTTCATGTTGATTTGGAAAAGGAAATGCTGCATAAGAAGGTTTAAGTAGGAATAAGTGAAATGGACTGACATCTGTGCACTTTGGGTAGAACACCTGAAGAAATGCAGGAATCAATAGAAAAGAGTCCACAGAGTTCACAAATATAGAAAACCACAATCATTGGCAGCAGACTGAATGAGTTCTGACTGTAGCAGAAAGCAAATGTACGGCTGGCTCTTCAAAGCCCACAGTAAGGCAGAGAAGCAGTGACAGGCCTACATTATGACTAGAAATACTCAGCTAATTACCTTTAATTAGAAAACTTGGTAAAACTGAGAATACTGAAGTGACAAAATAGATTTCATGATGATGACTTCTGTTGGAGGTCTTTCTTTACAGACAGATCAGACAATACTTGAGATAAATACCACTGATCTTCCCTCCAGGATAGCTCCTCCAGGGCTTTAAGCAACCTGTTCTAGCAGGACGCCTACTGGGGGGGGGGGGGGAACTAGGGAACTAGACACTCTTTAAGGTCTCTTCCAACCCAACCATTCTATGATTCTGTGATTCTATGATTCTATGACAAAGAGTGGATTTCTTGAGGGGATGTATAGGTAATTATATTAATTTCTTCTCTAAAGTGCTTTTATAAAGCTTCTGTGAAGAGCTGAGTTTGAAATTGTTACTTGTTGTTTACTTCTGGAAGAGCTCTCAAAATGTCCGTTCAGGACCTGGAT